TAATTGTTCTGAGTGTCTGAAGAGGGTATTGCTGTACTACTTGCTGATGTATATTAAAGGCTATTTGAAGATAATATGTAATTGCTCCTATTGTGCTGAAATTGTGTGGGACTAATTCAATAATCCTTTATATTCTGTTCATATGCTTTTCAAATGTGCGTAAATATGTTGGTCGAATTTCATTTTTCGGTAACCCAGTGAAAGAAAGCTAAATACTCTCATTGGCTTTTTATTAACAGAGACACTCATATGACCTATCTTCCTACACCACATTCCCTGTAGGTCACCTCCCTCTAATGCAGGTGAGAAACGTATTGCCAGCTCACTCTTTTTCTCCTTTTGTTATTGGATCATGTCCTTTGGTTTCTTATATCAACATGATTTTTTTAGATCACTGTTTTTTAACTATTTGTTTTTGAGGAGTTTTATATATACAAGTAATATTTTTAAATAGCTTTACCTTTAAATGTACTATATGGCCCTTGTGAAATCATTTACATAAGAATGTAACATATTTGGTTACATTACATTACATTATATTACATATATTAATACCTGGCAAGAACGATTCAAATTATAATATTTCTTTATTTATTATAAAACTATCTTTGAAAGGTAACTGATTGATTAAATGCTAAATAACTTTACCTGAGAACTTTGACTATGTTTTATATATCCATATATTTCAAATGACTAGCACAGTGATGTTCATACAATATATTCTTGATTTTTTAAAAAAAATTCTTAATGAAATGAATTTAGAGTTCAAATGCTGTTACTACATAGGCAGTGTGAGGCATCCATAAGAATTATTCAACATAAAATCAACTTAACACCCATGATAGAAGAGAAGACAACCTTTGGGTTAGAAATTGTGTAAACTGATTGTTGCAGAATGGTTAGGCTACAGTTACAAAGACTTTTTCTCTGTGCTTTTGGTGTATGTCCTCTGTTTACAGCTGTACATTTCCAGACATGTTTGAAAAGCATGGATTTATAGGATTTATAGCTACCTATTGTGCCATCTACTTTCAGTAACAGTTGGTTTCCTAAATGAATTGGCAAGTAGGCATATCACAGTAGTGTTTTGTTTTATTTTTTATGATGTTAGAAATAGTTTGCAAGAAAAAAAAAAAAAAGAGTTTGCTTCTGAGCAGAATAGGAAAATATTTATGCCTGAAGTGGCTTTTGGCAAAGCTTTAAGAACCATTACGCCTATAAAAGACAAGATATGGTTTGAATAATTTAGTAGTGCTAAGATGTCATATTTTTGAGACATCTATTTTATGGCTTTCCTGAATAACTGAGCCAAACACCTCTCCCAGGAATTTAACAACTTTTGTCTTTAAATTCCTAGGTAAACAATAAATTGTCTTCCTCTTTGAATAAAAGCTGCCATGACAACTTGGCAAGCTTGGGCTATAGAAGTCAAACACCAAGAAGTCAAAAAGCTTTAACTTTCAGTATTTTCAAAGATTTTATGTTGTTTTGAGAAGCTCTGATTTAAGTGAAAATGAAGGTGTATGCTCACATAGCCTTATCAGTAATTGTAATTACTGATTACTGATAAAAAATGTATATTTTTGCAGCGAATCCATTGTTTAGCATAACAATACTCTTATTCTTTATGTTAACTTCAAGACTGTGTCTTGATTAATTACAGGGATTTAGGGGTTAAGGGAAATACCAAAATCAGTTTAGATATGTTGATTGCAACAATTATACTGAACTCTATACTGAAAGTTGGTGATATTAAAGAAAATATCTATCTGGCAATTGTATAAGAATTTGGCAGCATCATAAAATCTATTACATAATTCATCTAAAGATTACATCTCTGACCTCAGCTTTATAAAAACACTAGCAATAGGGAAAAAAGATTAAATTTTTAATTTAAACTCATTGAATATTTTCTTCAAAACCACCCTTTTATACCATTCACTGAAAAATCAAATGAATCATTGTTGTTTGTTATTCAGAGTTGATGATTTCTGGCAGGTTAAATACAAGTTTTCATTCCTTCTGTGTGATTTGCAAGACTACCAGATGCGAATGTGAGATGTTTGTTATCTAGATCTATAAATCTGCAGATAAGGTTGTCTTATTCAACATTGCTTAAGTCTCTTTTCGTGAAAGTTAAGGAAACTTGTTTGTCAGTTAGGGTTCTTTTGTTTGATAATAACTCAACTCAAGGTGTTTTAACAATAGAAGAGATTTAATGGTTCATCTAAGTGGTTGAACAAGCCCAGGAGTTGGTGCACTTAGATATACTTGGTCAGGGATCTGGCTTTTTCTTTGCATTGCTTATGGTTCTGTCCTTATCTATGTTTGCTTTATCTTCAGGCAGGATTCCCTCTTGGTAGAAAATGGTGGCAGTAGTTCCAAGTCTCATATTTACACATCTCAGCAATCAGAATCAGGGAAATTATCTCCTCTCTACCTAATCTCCAAGATGTCTCACTAATTGGTCCTTCTTAGATTATGTGCTCATCATGCCCACCAACCATTGTTGCCAGTGGAGTGACACCTGTAGAATGGCTTGTGCCCAGTGTCAAGGAGGGTACTTACCACTGAAAGCTTCCAATGGTGAAGCACCAGACAATGAGAAGGAGTTTAAGGCACAACTACAATGCTTGTTACTCTCCTAGAACCCAAGCAATCAGTGTCATCACGTTCTGAAAGGGAGGGCTGGAAAATCATTAGGATAGAAGCTCTCTTGAGTTTCGTAGAATCTTATTCCTACTCCTTTTTTTGTATCTCCTTTTTTCTTTTTTCTCTGCAGAACTTTCTTATCTTTCATCGTGGGTATACTCATAATTTGTACATGATACCTAGAGTTTAATTGGAGATATAGGATTTTTTTTTTTAATTTACTGTTAACATTTAATCAACATCTTTTCTCCAGATGTACATTTGGGGTCATATTTTTTCTTTTAGGCATGAAGCAAAATCTATTTAGAATATTGCTTAGAATATTCCTTTCCTTCATGTAGTCTTTTATATATATATATATGGTTGTCAATGGTCCTAGGCCCTATTTCAGATGACAGAGCTAGTAAATATATGTATTTATCTAACACAGGTATAACGCAAATCTGTTAGTATTTCTATATATATATATATATATGATGACTTGTGAAAAGGTACATGGTATTCTTATTTTGACTGGATTTCAAGAATAATTATATTTTATTTAATTAGCACTTAAATAATAAATGCATTAGATGAAATTCAATCCAAAAATTTATTATTCAAATCATAGACCCTCTATTCACTAAACATTAATCTTACATATACCTGAATATTTTTTAATACATTCTGTTTAGTGACTTCTCAAACTGATAAGCACATTTACATTGCATGATAAAACAAACAACAAACAAACAAAAAAAACCTAATTGTGATTCAAATTAGTCAAGAATCATGTGATTTTTCTAGGTGTTCCTCAGCAAAATTGCTTTTTAAAACATTTAAATCTCTTCATTGAGTGAGAAACCTCAAAAATAAAGGTTTTGTGACAGGTACCATGTTGATATCAATAATGAGAATTTAAATAAAAGTAGAATTTAACAACCCAAATGATAGGGGAAAGATGTATTATCTCAATTTCTAGGACCATTAAATGAAAGCAGCACCTAATATAACCCAGTTTAAAAGGAGAAGTTTGAATTTGTTGTCACTCAATAGTAATTACAGTTCAGGCTTTCAGAAAATACTAGTTCCAAAAGTGACATTTTTTGTTTGGGCAGCAGCAATCAGAGAGAGCCCTAACATTACTGTTTTAGAAAAGACTATTGTACACAGATTGTTCATTTGCCTTTAAGTTTTGTCTATATAACAGTTTATTTTAAAGAGGCTTATTACTTTTATATTTTTAAATCTAATTCACTTTCCTTAGAGGTTATTTAATTCATTTGGCTATTTTGAAGAATACTAACACTTCTAATTTCAGTAGAATCATTTTTGTTTGTTTGTTTGTTCTTTTATGAATTTTAGGAACACCTTTGTTCTTTTTTTTCTTTTGAGGGCTTTTTTCTTCTTTTTAATGAAATGCTGTGTAACTCTAAATCATATAAGTTTGATATATAATGATTTAAATGCTTCTGTAAGAAGAGGGTCAGGAGGAAGAAAAAACATTTTTTGATCCTAGGACAATAAAGGTATTACAAAAATGTAACTGATGTGAAAAAACATCCATTAAATGTTGCACTCTGAATTCACCTGAAAAAGAAAAAAAATGCTACAAGTAGATTCATCTTAGAGGTATTATTTTAAGTAGCAGTCAGTATCAACACAAAACTTATAACAAGAACCACGTATGATTACCTCTCTCTTTGCTTGCCACAATTCTGACACACTCTCATTTTTAGGGTAAAAGAAAATATTTACACAACTCTAGGGAAAAAGCAAAATAAACTGATAAAATGGAGAAATTTCAAGAAGCCATAGTCAAAAGTAAAATGTACTTTTTTACCTTCTAAAATAGAAATTAGAATGCTTTAGGCAAATTTAGCTAATACTGAGTAGTCACTGAAAAAAATTAATGTTTCTCTTTTTTTCCTACCTTTATTGAGATATAATTGATATGTAACATTGTGTAAGTTTAAGGAGTACAACATGTTGATTTGATACACTTATATACTGTAAAAGCTAGCCACCATAGCATCAGTTAACATCTCCATCACGTCACATTATTATCATTTCATTTTTGTGGCGAGAACATTTAAGATCTATAATCTTAACCTTAGATCCCCAGAACTTAATCGTCTTATAACTGGAAGTGTGTACCTTTTGACCAACATCTCCCCATTTCACCCCCTTCCAGCCCCTGGTCACCACCATTCTAATCTGTTTCCATGAGTTTGGCTTTTTGAGATTCCACATATAAGGGATATCACTCGGTATTTATCTTTCTCTGACTTATTTCACTTAGCACAATACCCTCAAGGTCCATCTGTACTGTCCGTGTCCTTGATGTGCATTATTCTTTATTATTATAGGAGGACACAGATCATAATTACTATATATCTCGGATATATGGTCCATCTGATTCTGCCAGCCGGGATTTGTGGGTGAACATAGACCAAATGGAAAAGGACAAAGTGAAGATTCATGGAATACTGTCCAATACTCATCGACAAGCTGCAGTAAGTGCTTTGACATTTTGAGTTTCTTTTTCTTCTTCTGTAAAAAAAAATTTGCTTTAATTGACATATTAACATGGTTGTGATCACTTTTCAAGTATATTAGTTCTGCAGTTGCAGTTTAGATTAATAATTCATGTAAGATGTTATAGAAAATGATAAAGAATTATTTTGAGAAGCCACCATTAACTTAACCATTAATTAATTAATTAACCATTAATTTCTCCAGTAAGTAGGATGAGTTGCATATTCAATTTAAAGTTGTGATTTATCTTGGATGACTTTCAGTTTTCATGTAATTAGAGAACATGCATGTAATCCATGCATTTAGAGAACATTTTTAAAAAATTACATTAATTTGCTATCTCCCCTTTTACATGAGTTTATTACCCTTGGTCTGAAAAAGATTTAACCAGAAACATTCACAATTCAGATAACACATGTAGACCAAATTATGGATTTATGTGAAGAAATTTAATATAAAAGAAAATAATTATGTGAAGAAATTTAATATAAAAGAAAATAATTAAATCTAGAAGACTCCAAACATATTTTAAGTCTGAGCTTAAATCATTTACCAGTGGTGGTTCCTTAAGCAAACAATTTAACTATTCTGAGGCACAGTTTCTGAATCTATATAGGGGGGATGACAGGAGATATGAATACAAGCCTCACTTAGCTTACATGGTCACTGATATCGTGTTCTATGTGTCAGGTTGAATGCTTCCATGGATTAGCTTTTTCAATCTTCACAACAATTCTATGATTTAAATATTATAACCACCTAGGTATTGAAGATACGAGAACTTAATCTTGGAAAAATCAGCCTAAGTGTCTCCTGCTAGTCAGTTCTGTGACTCAGGTGTTAACCTAGGCAGTCAATTCCCCATTCAAAATGCATGTGTAAAAGTTATCACACTTGGTTCACAGAATGTTCTTTGATAATCACTTTATCAAAGATGATGCCTGGTTTAACATTTTAAAAGTTATTTGGTTTTGTTGCCATGGATTATAGTGGTGATCTTACTATCAGTGAAGCCATGTCTTGTTCAGTTTATCATGACATAAAGAGAAAACAAAATAACTTTAACATTTCAAGGGCTATTGCCATTATTGATACAAAGATAGAACTAATAGAGTAATGGCCAATCTGATTTAAAGAGGCATTGATTTGATAAATGTAAAATATCAAAAATTCTGGCCAACAGCCTTCATTGTATATATGTAGATGTTCCTATGTCAGGAGATTGACTTCTAACAGTTAAAATGGAAATTAATTGTAATTCACCATGATGACTCATTGAGGCTGAGAAGCAAACGAAGCAGCCACCTCCCCTTGATGAATTCCATCAACCCTTTTCTTTTCCATATTCAAGCAGTCTCAGAGAAGATGACAGATTCAGAAATGATTCACTGTCTGGCTTAGAACAGGTCTTCAAAAGAAGAGAAAATGAGAAAGATTAGATTAGGACCATGTTTTTTCAGGAATGTATTGCATTTGACAATCTTCCCACTATATTGCAGTCCCTAATAGTGTAAAATATACTTTGTAAGAGTTCGAACGTTTGCGTATCCACATTGAGATTCCATGAAGTGGCCCAGTTCTGGTGTCGGCCACTGTGGGTGATATCTGTAAGCAGAGAAAGAAGTTCATCAGTTAAAATATTAGCTGATTTCTTCTTACACTTTCTCTTGTGCTCTCCCAAAGGGGAGGCAGTTCATGTGTCCTGCCTTTCCTCAAAGAAGATTGGTTTCTCTTTGGAATAGGGTTTGATTGGCTGCCTTGTAACAGCTCTCTGATAGTCTCAAGAAATATTATGATGATATAAAGATGCATTTTTTTATAATTGTGATTTTGAGAGTGACAATGTTTGTTGCTTTCAACACCAAAGGTTGGCTTAAACACAAATGGAAAGACTTGAGCTTGTAACTTATCTGGTGTTCCATGCATTGATTTTTAAATATATATCACTGATAGAAACCTTTATTTTAGCTACTCTGCACTGGTTTTCCATGAGAATCTAAGCCATTGTCAAATATTTCTTAGTGTTAGAAATTGGCCCTGTACCCACTTTCTCTATCACCACCAACAGAACATACATACACACACACACACACAAGCGCTCACAGGTACACAATTTCCATTTACAACAATAGAATTGATAATATTACTTAGTTACTTATTTTTGGAAAAATTTGCCACTTGGACACCTTCATTTAAGGAGTTTTATACCTTGGAACTTATAAATTTACTTAGTAGAATATTTTATAAAAATTTTGTACATTCTTTCATAAGTATGATAGTTGAATATTAGTTTGAAGATTTCCAAATTGTAGAGAGTGATCCATTTTTTAATATTTCTTCAATTGGCCTCCACATCTTTCCAATCCTGCCTTGTTCTCTTGGCTCCATTTCTATTATGCCACCCTTGGAGTAGAACCAGGTTTTAGAGGCGATGACAGAATTGTAGTGTTAAGATATTGCTATGGCCAGGGGCTCAGCGATGCCCACATACACCCTCTTCCTCCTGCCCCTCTTCACACACAGCATAGGCACCCAGCCACAGCTACTCTCCCCACTGTGATAACTACTGAGAGGCTTAACCACAAGGGATAATGGCAAATGGGAAACAATGATTCACTTCACTGATTAGGTTCCCTGAAATCATAATCATCAAAATCCTTGATGCAAAGCTCTCTGGTAGTTTGGCTGGAAACAGGATTTAACTTTAAACCCGAAGGGAAGAGGGGGGTTTCTTAAATCTTACCACCAACTGATGTAATTTGCATACCCAAAGGCATCCTTTCTGTCAAAAAATTAGACAAAAAAGAGAATAGAAAGATCTAGCCTAGGATAAGACTCAGGGGGCAGTCGGCTAACTAACCCAGCCCTGGGCCAACAGGAAAGGAAGTGAGAAAGCTGAAAACTGGATTTCCTGAAGATATAGTTTCCCTCCCCTTTTTCCCAGCTGAACGGGTCAGAGGAAGATATGGGAGTGTCTGACCTGGAAACGTAATTTTTTAAAGAAATATTTTCCCCTTCACCACCATCATTTGTAAATGTGGTCCAAACAGTATTTTGGAATCTTAGATTAATTTTCTAGAAAAGGAGGAATGTGGAAATAGAGTAAGAGTTTTCTCTTTTCTCCCATCCACAATAATATCATACTGTCAGAGCAGAGCAAAACTTAGAAGTCATTTAATTCACATATTTCCCCTGCCGAAACACACTGATTTCTCTTTCCTTTTATAATGTAAAGTAAAATGATTAGTATTTACATTATATATATATATATATATATATATATATACACACATATATATACACACACACACACATGTATATGGTAATTTGATTACATGTTCCTTCAGATCTCCCCGTTGTCCTTTTTGTTTAAATCTCTCCATTGTTCTTTGTAGTTTAAATAACATTTCTTAAATCATATTTGCAGTAAAAACAGATGTTAAAACCTAGTTTTACAGTTGGACACATTAAAGGAAGGAGCATGTCTTCATAGATAAAGAAAAGTGAAAATTTTGTATGATTCCCTATCATATGACAAGCAAAGAGCCAAGCCCCTTACATTCAAATACTGGTACTTATTTGGGTTTTTTTGTTCCTTATTCAAAGTCCTCAGTTATCAGATTGCAGATCTAGAAGTTTCTAACTACAAACCTAGGAACCAGTCCAGACTTATTTTTCCTTCTATGAGGACCTTCAAATGCCACAATTTTGAGATTTTCTTATGTACTGTTAGATCCATATATTTTAGTTTATTGCTGGACACACAGTTTGATTCAACAACCAGACATGTTAGAATTATTTTGTCTTTTGAAACCACAGTTTATGAAATTCTTATTCACAACTTCTGGAGAAGTACCTCTGTCCCAGTAGAAGGAGTCTGGGGTTATAGACTCCTTGGCTCCTTATAGACTCCTTGGCTCCAAAACTCATTTTCTCAGATTCTGGCCTCTTGGACCTCAATTTTATAACCTAGAACGAAGGGAAAAATGCCTGCTTTGACAACCTTCCGGTGCTACTTCAAGAATAAAAATGGGGCTTCCCTGGTCCGCCTGCCAATGCAGGGACATGGGTTTGAGCCCTGGTCTGGGAAGATCCCACATGCTGCGGAGCAACTAAGCCTGTGCACCACAACTACTGAGCCCATGCACCACAACTACTGAAGCCCGCACACCTAGATAGAGCCTGTGCTCCGCAACAAGAGAAGCCACCTCAATGAGAAGCCCACGCAGCACAACGAAGAGTAGCCCCTGGGCTTCCCTGGTGGCGCAGTGGTTAAGAACCCACCTGCCAATGCAGGGGACATGGGTTCGAGCCCTGGTCCGGGAAGATCCCACATGCTGCGGAGCCACTAAGCCCGTGCACCACAGCTACTGAGCCTGTGCTCTAGAGCCTGCGAGCCACAACTACTGAGCCCATGTGCCACAACTATTGAAGCCCACGCGCCTAGAGCCTGCAAAAGAGAAGCCACTGCAATGAGAAGGCCACACACCACAACGAAGAGTAGCCTCCGCTCGCCACAACCAGAGAAAGCCCGTGTGCAGCAACGAAGAACCTACACAGCCAAAAATAAATAAATAAATTTATAAAAAAAAAAAGAGTAGCCCCTGCTCACCGCAAATAGAGAAAGCCCGCACACAGCAATGAAGACCCAAAGCAGCCAAACATAAATAAATTTTAAAAAAAGAAAAAGAATAAAAATGAGATATGAAAGGATGCTGAAAATAACAATGAGGTAGTAAGGCATTGATTTTTGAGAGTCCTAATAAAAAATAGTAACACCCAAGTAAGTTAATTCCTAAGTAATCTCTAAGAGTCTCTTTCTACAGACAGATATATATCTATATATCTATATAATATTTCTATATAATTTTCTGCCAAGAAATTGCCAGTCTGCTTTTTGCCAGACATAAACATACCCTGACTTTAAAAAAAAAATTTTTTTTTAATTATCTTTCTATATGTTAGTAAGAAGATTGAT